GGGGTACAAAAGCTGTCCGCCTGGCCACCTTAGGGCTTCCCCACCCCGTGTGTGAGGCGGCGAGGGAGCTATAATTTTCTTGTTTTGTTCTCTCTCGCACCGTCCTGTAATGCAGGGAGTTGGACTATGGCATCGCTCCGGCCCCAGCATCACTAAACAAAAAGATTACAGCTCCCTCGCTGCCTCCATTTTGTACACACCTGCCCTTCTGGCAGCCACAGCAGCCACACTGGACCCCTGAGACAGGATCCACTCCAGCTCTCACAAACGTAGGGAGGCTGGGTGCACATAAATCATAAATTAAAATAATAATAATACAATTTTGTGAGTGTGTCAGAGGGAATCTGTATGTGTCTCTCTGTCAGTGTGTCTGTCAGTAAATGTGTGTGTCTGTCAGTGAATGTGTGTACCTCTCAGTGAATATGTGTGTCTATGAGTGAGTGTAAAATCAGTGTGTTTCTGTCAGTGAATGTATGTATGTCAGTGTGTCTGTCAGTGAGTATATGTCAGTGAGTGTATGTCAGTGAGTGTGTGTGTGTGTGTGTGTCTCTGTCAGTGGTTGGATGTGTGTGTCAGTGAGTGTGTGTGTGTCTGTCTGTCAGTGAGTGTGTGCATCTGTTAGTGTCTCTGAGTGTGTCAGTGAGCATGTGTGTCTGTCAGTGAATGAGTGTATGTTTGTCAGTAAATGAGTGTGTGTCTGCCAGTGACTGTGATTGTATGTGTGTGTCTGTAAGTGAATGTGCTTGTCAGTATAGTGGAGCTCCGGTACTCCAACTGAATACTTCTGCTATGAACCTTTCCATGATCCCGCAAAGTAGTTGGAGATTATAATCCTCACCCAAACTTCAACCAAGACTTGATGGAGGGAAGAAAAAAGTGGGTTTTAAACAGTAAGAGGTGCAGCCTTGACAGGAATGAGTGGGAAAATTTAGATTAGAGGGCTGCCCAAGTTTAGTCATGCCTTGGCAAGCACAAAATCAAAATATATCACTGTCTGTGTATCTGCATGTCTTTGCCTGTGTATCTGTGTGTCTATATCTTTGTTAGTGTTTCTTTCTGTATGTTTATCAGTGTGTGTATCTGCATGTGTGTGTCTATGTATCTGGTTGTGTGTCATTGTGTGTCTGTATCTGCATGTCTGTGTGTGTATTTACATGTTTGTGTGTATATGTATCAGTGTATATGCATAAATGCTTATAGCTCATCAATCAGACTTCAACACTACATACAAGTACACCCCTGCATTCAATCATCAGCACTACATCCAGACATGCCCCATACATTCAAAGGCAAACACTACACATAAGTAAATCACTGCTTTCAAATGGCAACAGTACATAAGAACACACAACACTACACACAAAACACCCCTAAATTCACACACACATATTCCATATAAAAACATTTGAGCTAACAAACTCTGCTGAGTAAATGGTCGATCCCCAGCTGGCCAAGTATTGTGGAAGTTGTACAACAGATTTCTACCTTTTGGCCATCACTGTGGAAGGGCAAAAAATACGTTTTGCCCAAGGGCCCTCTGTACTCTAGTTCATCAATTAGTTAGGTTAAAGTTAGGGCTAGGGTAACCCAGATTTAGCGTTAAAATTAAGCCTGTTGGTAATGTTAGATTTAAAGAACAAAAAAACAAAGGGTAGATGCTACTAGTCTCAGTGCATACAGAGCTCTGAGGTAAAATGCATCTCCTGGCTATATGTATAGCAGTATAATTGTAACTATATACTGGCTATAATAAAGATGTAAAAATTAATAAATACTATTGAGACCAAGAAATGATAAATAAACCAAAGTATATACAAGTGATACAAATGTTAATATGCAAACCAGAGATAGAAGCCAGGTAGGGATATAGTACAAATCTGTATAGGGGTATAATCCCCAATCCTGGATTACAGCTTTATTAGAAAGTATATTGGCTAACTTGGAAAGGATCAATCCCAATACAATTCCCTGTCTCTGGGCTATCTCAAGATTTACTCTTAATACTCCTGTGCCATATCTTATAGGCTTAGAGACTGTGCTTGTAATGAAAAACCCTCATCAGCAGCAGAGTACAATGTGGGTCTAAGCACAGTCCCAAACAATCAATCTTAAATCAGCATAGAGATAGTTAAATTGCAGACAGGACTAAGGAGAAAGAGTACTGTCCATAGTAGAATATGGGGAGAGAATGCAGTATGTAGTTAGAACGTCAATGTCTAAAAAACTGACAATGTAAAAAAAAACAAAAAATACCTACTAAATATTTTAAATGTGTTCCTTTTTTACATTTTTTAAAATGTATTGCACACATTTGTAAACTTTTTAAAACCCCTGTCCTTCTACAAAATCCCTGCACCCCCTCACATACAGTTGCAGGCAGACTGTCACATGCAGACAGGCACACATATAGTCACACACACGGTTACAGCCACACACACACATTACAGGCAACATCACACAGTCATAGGCAGACAGTTACATGCACACAGTTACAGACAGGCAGTCACGCACACAGTAACATGCAGGCAATCTCACACACACACACACACACACAGTCACAGGCAGACAGTCACACACACACAGTTACAGGCAGCATCACACAGTCACAGGCAGACTGTCACACACAGTCAGACAGGTACACACAGTCACAGGCAGTCACACACATAGTTACAGGCATGCAGTCACACACACACACACACACAGTTACAGGCAGAGAGTTACAGGCAAACACACACAGTTACAGGCAGACCATTACACACACAGACACACAGTTACAGGCAGAGAGTTACCATTACAGGCAAACAGTTACACACACACACAAAGTTACAGGCAGACCGTTAAACACACACACACACACACACAGTTACAGGCAGACAGTTACACACACATACATACCATTACAGGCAAACAGTTACACACACACACACACACACAAAGTTACAGGCAGACCGTTACACACACACACAGTTACAGGCAGACAGTTACACACACAGTTACACACATACACACAGTTACAGATAGACAGTCACACACACACACAATTACAGGCAGACAGTTACACACACATACACACACAGTTACAGGCAGACAGTTACACACACACACACACACACACAGTTACAGGCAGACAGTTACACACATACACACAGTTACAGACAGTCACACACACAATTACAGGCAGACAGTTACACACACACATACACAGTTACAGGCAGACAGTTACACACATACACACAGTTACAGACAGTCACACACACAATTACAGGCAGACAGTTACACACACACACATACACAGTTACAGGCAGACAGTTACACAAACACACAGAGTTACAGGCAGATAGTTACGCACACACACACACACACACACACACACAATTACTGGCAGACTGTTACACACACACACTCTCTTACTTACTTACAGACAGTGTGGGCTCGAGGAAGGCTGGATTCCTTGAAGTCCTTCCCTGGCTGGAGCCTGTTAGGTGGAGGAGCAGGGATTTCTTCTTGCTGCACTTCCATGTGCAGCAGTAACAGCAGCGGGTAAGGGCCGTGTTAAGCCCCACCAATGCTTTTGGATTGGCTCCACCCCCAAACTGTCATAGCCCCACCCCCAAACTGTCATAGCTCCACCCCCAAACTTCCGTGCGGCCACTTCAGCTTGTTTTTCTCTGCCTGTGAGCTGTGCGACACCCCAGCTGCCATGGGGCACAGCTCACATGTCCCCCATTAGCTCTCAGACCTGGATTAGGGCACCCCCCTACATGGTGGCACCCGGGGAGGACCGCCCCCTCCACCCCCCCCCCTTAGTCCGCCACGGCAATAAACCCAGTATATCATTAAGTCAAAACTGCCCCCTTAACTTCTAAATGCAATATAAGTTCCTGAAAACTGAGAAACTAAATTGTTGTACTATAAATGTAGACAACTCCAAAGTGTTTTCTTCTGAATTAGCCCATATCAGAACTCTGTATAAAAAAGAATTTTCACTCTAGCACTTGTACTCTGTGTAAACTATTTTAATTTCAATTTCATAATCCCAGCAGTCTGTACCTTTCTGGGTTTTTAATTCACTATTCCGGCTTTTACTTACCTTGGTATCATTATTGCTAATATGTATGGACAGAGGATAGAAACACTGATCACTATCACACAATGTATTGCACTTTTTTTTTTATTCTTTTTTTTTATTGTGCAGGTGTGTACATAGCTTCGTCAAGACGCCACAACAGCGTATTCATACATTTGCATGCAGGTTAGGTAGTGGCATTTATGTTTGCACATTTTTATAAGTGAACAAGTTCATGAGTAGCCGGTAAAGTTTCTGAGAGCCCATCAATTAAGCTTATGGCGCAAAAAGATAATACTGGTTAAGTCAGTTGCATTACAGGCTGAGAGAAACACTAAACATAGGCTAACTAAATAATAACCGGTGGAACATACACAATAAATTGCTGCGTTGCTGTTAAATGACTGCTGTTTAACCTTGCCTCTGTTTTATAGATAGGGGAGGTCAATTAGTGGTGTAGTGTTAGTCAGAGCATATACATAAGGAGGTTAGCTGTGTTTAGCAACAGACTTTGCTGTGAGAGAGTTCTGCGTGACCTACTTCCGTTTTAACATTAATGGGTTGTCACTGGAGAGACATTTACGTAAAATGAACGATTAAAACATTTTAGCAGTTAGGCCTCTTCTATGCGTGAATAGTCGCATTGCTGGGTTCGCATTTATGAGTTGTAGCGAGGCCTGGCATGGGAGGCTTAATGCCTAGCTAAGATAATGTGTGAGAAATGTGAAAATAAGTGGTGAGAAGGGAGCAGAACCTTGAGCTAGCAAAAACATTTAAACATCAACTGTTAATACCAAGACATATGTTTCACAGCCATGCATCACTGGTAATGGAGGGTTGATCTGTCATGGCAGCCAGCCTGGTATGCCAGCATTGTCAAGTAGTCAGTCAACCTATGCCCCTGCTGGGCTGTGAGGTTCCATGTGAAGACAGGTTATGCAGGGCTGCCTGTGGTCCATCCGGCGACAAGTGCCATGTAGTTGGTGTTCGCTGGTCCGTGCTGATTTGTCCTGAGGGCCTGGGCTTTGCATGAGAGCCCTTCGCTGCTGAGATGTTCTGTCTCCCGGGCGATTTTCGGCTTTGTGGGTGAATTCTCGTTGTTGGATGCCATGCTGTTTCCCGGCGGGGGTTTACAGGTTAGGTGCCTCCGTGGCGGTCTGGGCTTTTGGCGGGCATGAGCCTTTTGCTTTCTCTTCCTCTGCCGCCGCTCTGTTGGTGCCTGATTCAGGCCTCGTTTAATAATTCGCTTTGCAGTGTGGCATCTGGAAGGGCCTGTTGACGGCATCACCTGTCCCCGCCGGTGTCTCCGCTTGAGGGCAGACCAAGCTCCAAAGCTGTGTCCAGAATAGCTCAAAGGCTTGGGCTATGCGGTCCTCCCTCTGTGGGTGCTTTGCTTCAAGCTTTCCTCCAGCGGCCATCTTGGAGCTCACGCGGCAGGGCGGCAGCTCCGTGTACCTCGTTAAGTCTTGTGGCTGTGAGCAAGTAGGTGCGCCGGTGGGGCCCGGGATAACCCCCACCGGTCCGGGGGGGGGGGGGTTCGGGGCTGTAGAGAGGCTTCTAAGCCGAGCACTCGCCGGGTCGAGAGATCGGCCGTCTCCCCCACAAACCAGGCACAGTAGGCCGCAGAGCCAGTTCTAGGTGACAGCCTTTCGGGCCGGGGTAATGCAGGCTTACGGTAGGTGCAGGTATATACAGTATCTGTCCTCCGCTATTCCAGGAGGGTCACCTTGTCGTTTATAGGCAGTTTAGCCTGAGATTATATGGTAAAATGTCGGAGCTATGTGAAAACACATCCGGCCATCATGCTTGTCAGGCACCGCCCCCGTATTGCACTTTTTAACGAAGTAAGACCCTGATTTAATATTATTGGATAAACTTTTAAAATTATATTTTCAACATAGGGAAGTATAAAAAAAAATGTCATATGTATAACAGTATTTTAAGATATCAAAATATGTAAAAAAAATATATATATAAAAATATTACAAAATGTAAATATTTTTCATAAAATTAAATCAATCTAAAAGTTTATCCAAAATATTAAATAATTTGGAAAACGTTTCCAACAATATCAAATCGATGCCTAACCACTTTAAATTTGTGAAGAACTCTCCCGTATCCTGTGCCTTGGGATGCATGGATAGATGGATAGATGGATAGACAGACAGACAGCTAGACAGACATACAGCTAGACAGACAGACAGATAGACAGACAGACAGATAGATAGATAGACAGACAGACAGACAGACAGACAGACAGACAGATAGATAGATAGATAGATAGATAGATAGATAGATAGTAAGATAGATAGATAGATAGACAGACAGACATATAGATAGATAGATAATACGATAGATAGATAGATAGATAGATAGACAGACAGACAGACAGACAGACAGACAGACATAGATAGACAGACAGACAGCTAGACCGACAGACAGACAGACAGACAGACAGATAGATATATAGACAGACAGACAGATAGATAGATAGATAGATAGATAGTAAGATATTAAGATAGATAGATAGATAGTAAGATAGATAGACAGATAAATATAAATATATATTTAGAAAGAGAGAGAGGGAGCGTGAACGAGAAAGACAGATTACTAAACTATATCGGAAGATTTGCTTAAATCTCATTTACATGCCTTTGGATTCACTTTGCATAATTTGAAAATCTCTTTTTACATCTGCATCACAGCCCATTAGAAAATGCCTCTGGAGTTGCAATGATACATCTCCCTCCCTCCACCCTTTCCCTAAACAAATTCAATCAGAGGTGATACCACTGGTCTGTTACAATGACAACAGAGCCCAAGATACCATTCAATTTAACTTTGAACTCACAATAATCTAAAACTAACTAACACGTTGATGTGTAAGTGAAAAAAGACATATGCTTCTACCGCATTACACATGATGAAGTTATTTTTACGCATATTCGCTTGAGATTAATTATTGTTACAAACAAGAACAGTGCACGCCAATATACACCAGTATATACAACTATATAATACCACTCAGGGTTAGAGCAATTCTTCATAGCATTTTGTACAAAATGGGTAATTTGTAATAAGACTAATGTTCTCATGATAATAAAAGAAAGATTTACTTAATTCAGTTCTTCACGGCACAGCAGGATCCCAATGAGCTGTATCCGTCTTCCCCATTGGCCCCTGCTGCTTTAAATGGGCAGTTATCCATTACTAAAAATAATTGATTAGTTAAGGCAACGGAAGGGCTAATGCATCCAAAAGAAGATGTAAAATCCATATTGTTTTTATAACGCTATAAAAATGTTCTTCTGTTTCTTTAAGTGTTATGTTCTATCGTACCAAATGTCCAAAGATTAACATACAAACGGTTAAAATGACAAGACACAATAAATCTGATCTGCATCAAAACAAGATGTCTCTTCACTACAAACCATCTTTTCCTGAGAGCACAGCACACATCTTAATTCTTGGGTCATTATTTGAAAAGTACCACCTATCTATATCTAGCTATAGTTGAACTCGTCATTTGAACATGGAGGTGCCCTCAAGACATGGGACCCATTTGTGTTCAAAGCCAAGTGTGATTAATACTAGAAAATCAAATTTAAAAAGAATGTGGAACATGTAACCAAAGTAGGCGCGACGTGAGTCGCCTTCATATTATCAATCATTGTCTTATTACCCTAAAAGCGGCCGAGCTAGCAACTAAGCAACAGCTAGTCCTCAATGGTTATAAATAGCATGTTTAAAAAAATCCTACCGTTTTTCTCTGCACTTGGTTAGCCTATAGTTGGTAAAGCAATGCAAGCCCCCAGCCCCCTAAAAAGAAAATGTAAAAAAAATTTGAAAAATTACCTCCTTTTATTATTACTACAACTGCAAATAGTATGTAAGCATCTTCAAAAACAGACCACAGAATATTAGGCCTAAAGAGGTCTCAGTCTCAAGTGGACAGTTGTAACACGTATTAACTTAAAAATATCTATTCACTAACTTTTACATCTTGGTGAGCTGGCCTGAGTTTTCTTCCTAGTTGTTCAATTATGGAAAACAAATGACCTGGGGAAACAATTGAGGTAGGAACATTTTCCTGGATCACTAGTCTTGACCTTAATTTTTGTAGTTCATACGTGAGAAAAAAAAACACTTCACTTTCCAAATGTGGAGTGTGCTGAAAGTGCTTGTGTAGGATGGTTTTAACTTGTTCGGTATTTATGCTATTGACTTATTTGCATTCTTTCAATTACTATTCAAGGAGTGTATTGTTTTTGTATTATATCAAACCAGAGTTTGATCTTCTAACTGCAATGCGACATGCCCTGTACTCTATCCTTAACCAGGAGATGCATCTCGATTCACTGGAGGAGGTGACGTATGTCAGTGAATAGCAACTTTCACTTCTTTGCCTCATCCTGTTTATCATTTTCCAGTGCACTCTGCGTGGTTAATTATCATTTATTTGCTTTTTTCTGGAACATCTGCTGCCAGCAGAAATGATGGTGTTGTTTTTAACAAACACTGATTAGTACTTCATCATAAAATCAGTTTGAAGGGCTGGAGGAGTGGAAGAGACGACTCCAAAGATATCGTTATTAATTAATCTACACATCAATAAACTGTTGAAGTACGGGTTCTTCAAGGGCATGAATCTTGTTTCCGTACAGAAGACTTATTTGACTATTATTAAAGTGCACACTAAAATAAGAATGTCGAAAGCACCATAATTTTGATCAACTGAAATATTACTCAAAACACTAGAAGAGTAATTCATTTCTTTTGATCATTTCTTGTGTTTACAAGTATTTATAGAGAATAACACTTCTACTTATAGTAGATGAGCAGTTAAGGTTGAGGAGCGATATCTGGGTTGCCACTAATTAAGCCTAATGAATATCCAATATGCTTGGTAAATAAAATAAAAATACCTCTTAATTTTTTCAAAGACTAATTTTCTAAATGGAATAGAGATTTAACCTTTCAAACCATTGCAAATATAATTCTAGGTCTAGACAATTTCTGGAAAAGAGCTAACTAAACTTGGTTCTTTGTTTTTCAGTTTGCAATGACACTTTCCTATAAAGTATAATATAAGGGTTTCCTGTAAACTAATGAATGAGATTACATATATAATTAAAGCCTATTTGCACCAAGGTAGATATATATTTTCTTCTTAAAAAGGAGTGCTTGTCCCTTGGATTTGTGTGTATATATATATATATATATACACACTAAAGTAGTGGTGGGGAAAACGTGTGGATGAAAACCCCCTCCACCTGAAGTAAGTGGATAATTAATACATTGCTAAACACAAACACACACACCAGCCAAGCCATAAGACTTGCTTTTCCGACAGAGATCTTACTTTAATAGTGCTCTCACTACTGCAAGAGATTCTGGGTAAGCGTATGCAAATGAGATCAACAAAGAACCACATGTTTGCCTCAAAATTCCACTTTTTACATGGATTCCTTGGAGTATGTGTCTGCTGTATACAACAGCTTTGAAACACATAGAAACATAGAAACATAGAAACATAGAAACATAGAATGTGACGGCAGATAAGAACCATTCGGCCCATCTAGTCTGCCCAATTTTCTAAAAACTTTCATTAGTCCCTAGCCTTATCTTATAGTTAGGATAGCCTTATGCCTATCCTATGCATGCTTAAACTCCTTTACTGTGTTAACCTCTACCACTTCAGCTGGAAGGCTATTCCATGCATCCACTACCCTCTCAGTAAAGTAATACTTCCTGATATTATTTTTAAACCTTGTCCCTCTAATTTAAGACTATGTCCTCTTGTTGTGGTAGTTTTTCTTCTTTTAAATATAGTCTCCTCCCTTACTGTGTTGATTCCCTTTATATATTTAAATGTTTCTATCATATCCCCCCTGTCTCGTCTTTCCTCCAAGCTATACATGTTAAGATCCTTTTAACCTTTCCTGGTAAGTTTTATCCCGCAATCCATGAACCAGTTTAGTAGCCCTTCTCTGAACTCTCTCTAAGGTATCAATATCCTTCTGAAGATACGGTCTCCAGTACTGTGTATAATACTCCAAGTGAGGTCTCACCAGTGTTCTGTGCAATGGCATGAGCACTTCCCTCTTTCTACTGCTAATGCCTCTCCCTATACAACCAAGCATTCTGCTAGCATTTCCTGCTGCTCTATTACATTGTCTGCCTACCTTTAAGTCATCAGAAATAATCACCCCTAAATCCCTTTCCTCATATATTGAGGTTAGAACTCTATCAAATATTCTGTACTCTGCCCTTGGGTTTTTACGT